GAACAGCTAGAAGGTATTGAAGGAAAATTGAAAGTTATCGATGGAGCAACAAGAGAAAAGATAAGTGGAAGATTTTGGGATCTCGAGGGAAAAGAATTGCTTTGGTAAACATTTTTATTGTGACTCTCATTCTTTGTAATAAATATTCGAAAAATCTTCAAAGTGTATGATTGATGATTGTGATGAACTTAAAATAGATTTCAAATGTTGAAAGAAAAAAAAACAAAGAATATCTTTATTTTAACTGACTTATTTGAACCGACTGTTGTTACTAGAAAAATAGAAAAGATATCATTAAGAAAAATCTATTGAAACTTATTCTGTAAATCGTTTTCGCTATTATTATTGATCATTGGTGATAGTTTTGGTTGGTTGGTATTAAAATCTAAAGAAAAATTTTTGAATTACTATAACGAATTCGAGCGAAGAAATGCCTTGAAATAAGGTTGTTTACTTTATTTAACATCCATAATAAACACATGTTTATATGAGATAGATAGTAGATAAGTTCTTTTGCATAAGTTTTTCATCAAATTTTTCAATTGATCGGAAACTTAATAATTATGCATTCATGGTCACAAGACTTTTTATCGGAGATATTTGTTATAAATAGAATTAGTTTTAATCGAGAAGTTTAATTCAAACTCTGATCTTAAATATAGAAAGATTATGTGCTCAGATTCCTTTTGAAAAAAACTACAGTCAAAGGATTTTTTGATTACTCATCATATAACTATACATAACCATATACTATTTTCTAGAGATCTATGTAGCTTCTTCTTTAGAGATATTGATTAACTCGAGTTTATAATGCATTTTATAAAGAGAGAATAAGTCTAAGAATTGGTTGAGACTATTCTTCTTTTATCAAAAAATAACTGAAGAAAAAAAAACACTTTAAACACTTGATGTTTACATATTGATACCTACTTTTCGCTAAAATATTCAGTTCTACTTCAGAAATAAAGGGTGTAAGTGTGGATGGTTTTGTGATCTTCTCCTTACCCACATCCTCATCTACACCCAATTGTCTCTTATATTTATTCAAGTTTTTCCAGAACGTACCAAAATGCTAGGCTCTTCGCGAGGTTAAAAAGTGACACTAGCAGAATCTCTTTGCTTTCCAATTTCTATAGGATCGTTTTAAATAGCGGTCATTTCAAGAGTCACATCAAACCATACGTAGACAAGTGTACGACAATACGAGTTGATGGAAAATTTGATTTTGCAATAGATTATAACTCTATAGAGATGGCCTACTCAAGATTTAAAGCGGTTGATTGTTCTTTGAAGTGATGAAATTTAAATCTTCGTTTATAGAACTCAGTGATACAATATTGATTGACATCTTTATAATTTATCTCTTAGGTAATGAGTAATGAAACGGTGTTAATCCATATTCTTATCTATTTTATTGCACAGAATGATCGATGATAGATTTATTTGAACATAATCCGACATTAATCTTGTGATAATTATGTCTTTTAAATCAATTTTGTTTTCATTATTCCTGGGTTTTTTTGTGTTCGACATTTCCTTTCGATCAAAATATAGACTACTAGTAAAAAAAGCTCGATAGTCAAAGATTCTAATTTATATATAATTTCTTTTTGTTTTACCGAATTGGTTATCTATCTGCTTCACAATGCTTTCATGATTCGAAAGGTTAATATTATTTTTCTGTTTATCATTGTATTTAATAAAATGAATATTTTTAAGGATCTACATAGTCCATCAATGTATGAAGTAGTTACTGCTATGAGTGGTCTTTCATGTTTTATAAATAGTGATCTAGCACGTGATTTAGCTAATGATATAATGCCGCTTGTAAGAAATAATTGTATTTTTATTTTTATTTATTTATTTATTTAAATTCTTTAGATGACATCAACAAAGCCATATATTCGTAAATGAGCTATTCTACTTTTATATAAAATATTTCTTAATAATCTTTTTATAGCCTATTTATTTTCTTGTCGTATTTTTATTCATGTCACTTGCATTCATCTACTTAAAATTCAGCAATTATCCTTGGTGAAAATCCATGGTATATACAAGAAAAGATCTTAGAGTTTTAAAGACATGAAATTTTTGTAATATACTTTAGAAATATTTAGCTGTCATTAAAAAAATGAACTAACTATCTTATTGTTTAATCGATCATTTTTTATACAAATCAACATCTCTTTTAAAGACAACGGAATTTTAAAGTTAACTCCGACATTCATATAAATCAGAGTCAACATCAATGTCCAATGAGTTATCTTTTTATTACACTGATGATCACATAAACAGTGTCAAAAGTTCATAAACAAAGAAATAAAAAATTTCATATACATATATTTTTTTACTTCATCTTTCGATTTGTTAAAAATTTTATTTACAACTCAAGTTTAAGCGCATGCACATATTAATGTACATTTTCTCATCATCACAACACGAAACGCAACGTTAAGTAAAAAAGAGGAAGAACATATGAAGAACGAAATTTATGTGATGATGAGCACATGGTTGAGAAAAAGCTGTCTACGCGATGAAAAAGGTCATAGTCCATTGATTCACGTAAACATACATTTATGGGAAAAAAACCAAGTAATGTTATCGATTATAAATACAGAATAAAACCTATTGCAAATACATCAAACAAAATTTTTACACTCAACTATCGACTAGCACGTAAGTATATTTAATTTCCAACATTTTTAGACTAGTAATAACATTAAATTTGACAGTAAAGAGTGATTAGAAACAAGAAAAAAACGAAAGTAGTTTTATGAGAACTACGCTGGGTGATAATCAGGATGTGCAGTCGATTGTCTTGATTGAAGAAGCTCTTACATGTATTATAGGCTTACTGCAAACCACGTTACACACATTAACTTTTTTATACCTACATTGCACCGGGAGTATCAGTAATGAAAGGCACAATTTTCAATTTTTATGAAGATACCATAGCAAGGAATTCAAAAAATTATTATAGAATTTGCTCAATGATATAGACACATAAAAAGAATTCATTTGAATCTTAATGTACTCAATCAAAATCTAAGATTTGTACATAAAAACAATAAGTCCTTATTCACAGAATAGAGTAAGTGTCCAGATAATCTCTTGAAAGCCAGCTCAAATAAAAAACAACCTTCATGCAGTAATCATTGGAGAAAACGAAATCGAATCGATTTCGATTTTTCATCACTCCAGCTGTGTTTTTTTTGCATAGAACACAAGCATATATAAGAGAAAGGAAGCTTGGAAGGAGAGAGAGAAATAAGAAGAGAGAAAATAGTGAATATAGGAAAAAAAGAGCAGGCAGCTATTATCTTTCATGAGGTTCTATTATTGGCACACTAAGAGCATGATCAAAGTTGATAATTCGATTGTTGTGCAACGACAGAAGAAATTATAATCGGTTATCACTTAGATTTTGTTTCACAATAGTAATAGTGAAAATTCTCATGTAACTAACTTCGGCACGATTTTGATTGATTTTATATGCTCTCGTACTGGTTTATAAACGATAAGGTGAAAGAAAACAAAATAGAGTCTTTTCCGGTGTAGAAAAAAAGACGAAAAAAAAATCGATTAAAACAGATTTTTTCCCCGTTTTTTTTACATGAGAGGTCTGTGTTCCAAATCTATGCTACTTGCTAATATATTTCAACCTTTCTAGTCATATCGGTCCGATCTGTCTAATCTTTTTCTTAAAAAATCCTAATTGAGGACTAGCCTAAGGTCTGGTATGTCCTTGAATCTCGTCCCAAATCTATCATTGACGAGCATGAGCACATATATACTAACTAGTCTTGTTCAAGTGAAAGATCCGCGTAGGACTACTTTAGTGTCGATGATAGATCAAATTATTATTATCAAAAATGCAGACTAGTTCTGGACAAAGCTTTTTCGAGGCGAAGGATTGTATGCTCGAAAACTCAACTTCTACATCTCGGTGAACACTTATAGATACTATTTAATTGAATTCTATTTAGATATTCTTTAAAATTTTTATATGGACCATGAAAATCTCGGCATTCTAATACGAATTTATGTGTATAAGCTCAAACAAGACTATTTCTTTTGAATTAAAAAATTATTTTCATCAAGTATTAATAAAAACTAATGAATGCGAGCAAATGCTATGTTCAAAATAAATTAATACTTTTTTTAGTTGAAGAGAAAATAATATATATGAGTATCATGATTTTATTTTATATTAATTTAAGTTAATCCATTTTAAAGTTATAACTAGAATAGATTTGTGCAATCTTATTTCATTCTTAAATTAGACTAATCAGAGCGCATATTTAAAGTAAAATGAAATTGTGACGCATCAAAAAATATTCGTATTATTTTGAGGTTGGCTTGGATCTTTTCTTTATTAACATTTACCCTCACTTGTTCTCGACCAGTTTTAATTGACTAACAGATGGATAAGTACCGCTCGACTATTTGAACTGTTAAAGCTGACGTCAGTCTATTAGTAAGACATGATCTGGCATCAGTCAGGACACTCGTCAAATGTTGAATACTGTCAGATCAGATGTTCGAATCCATCTTTTGCCTCCATTGTTTACTCTTTTTCTGTTCTACGTATTAATCTGGACAGGTTAGATAGGCAAACGGACTCGACATGTCGGAGTTCAACGACATTTTGGGCTAGTCCAGACATAATTGCAGAAATTTTTCTTGTCAGAATGACTAGCCATGACGGGTATTGTCGATATTTCGGACTAGTCATGTCGCCACCCCCCCCCCTCTTCAGCGACTTTTTGTTTACTTGGTCATTCTTCTTTGCTTCTTGCCTAATGGACAGAGACTCCGTCCATCCGCTATCGTCATTTTATGAGTAACACTCTTTTGGAAAAAACAAACGATCAAAGGAGAAGAAGTCCTTAAAGTCTATAGCAACAAGTCAGAAAAGAAACCCTGTCAACAAAAAAAGAATAAACAATTATACAAATATAGGAAGACGATATTTCACTTATTGTAGGCATTCATCCGTCATGAGCAAACAAAAACCAGCAACAACTGTTACTAGTGGTGCAGCAGCGATGCCTACCACCACCATGAACAATTCTGCTGCCGCTGTGCTGCCCCGACCTATGCGTCGGGTGCTTCAAAATTTTCTGCTGGTATGGCTTGATGCCAATTTGGATGAATCCAAGAAAGATTTCAAGAAATCACTTCGACATCTGCGACGTGTTGTGGCGTCTATTACAACATTTACGGATGCTCAAGAATGCGTCAATTTTCTCAGCGAAATAAAACGAGAAAAAGTATTTATGATTGTATCTGGTTCACTGGGACAGCATGTAATACCAGATATCGAAGCATGGCCACAATTGGAGTCAGTTTATGTTTTCTGTCGTGACCAAGTGGCTCATGAACAATGGGCCAGCAAAATATCTAAGGTAAAGGGTGTACATACGAAAATCAAACCGATTTGTAAGGCCTTACAAATCGATCGTGAAAATTGTGATCGAGCGATGATCTCGATCAGTTTTAATGGCATTGATCCGTTATTTATGTATACCCAATTATTGAAAGAAACGCTTTTGGATATTGAAGACGACGATGCAAAATCAATTAAAGAACTTGCTGAATACTGCCGTCTTCAAGATGATATTGATGAAAGTAAAATTAGGAAGATCGAAAAAGAATATCGTGACCATACACCAATATGGTGGTATACAGCACCATACTTTATTTATTCAATGCTCAATCGTGGCCTTCGCCTAATGGACGTCGACATTATAATTAAAATGGGTTTTTTTATTCGTCATTTACATCAATATAGAAATTTTTCAGAAATCACGCAAGCTTATTGCATACATTTGTAGTCTTCTGTTTGTTTGAATCGTACGTACGAAGGGTTGCAGTGTGATTACTACAGCCTAACCATTACCATCTACACGCCCGTATAAAAATCACCACCAAAATTACCAGGTTGCACCTAACACTAACACTGACTGACACTCACCCACTGCAAACCTGTATAATTTCACTCCACAACTACTATACCGATCGATCGACACCTGAGCGCTTATGAATAGCTATGTCGCGAAGTACATTGATCATATACACATCCATCATCCATATTCATAGCAAGTTCGAAGATCAATAACAGCCACATACAACTAGGTGAGCATGCAACGACTTTCCTCTGTATGAACCATTTTCTTTCACTCCATGACGACTGCCCATCACTCAAAATAATCATATTGAGACGTAAATGCATTCTTTTTCCAAAACACAAATCTTTTTTTTGATGAAATATGTCTGAAAATTCTCTTCTGCATTCATGTTTTGCGATCATCTGACTTTGAATATCATTCCTGTTGCACATAATTAGAGTATGCCTGTAGTAGCATCTAGTAAAAATTTGTGCTACATTGGACAAACATTATTCTTCTTTCGTTTGTCGGGTTTATGCAATACAGAACGATGGATTTTCAAACGGATATTCGGTTTTGAGATCTATTATTTTTCTATTCTATTCTACATTCAATTAGCATCATTTTTTCCAAACATCGAGCCCATTCATACATAGATGAGAAAATTTTTTGGAATACTTTTTTTCTTGCGCATTCAATTTAGAGTTATATTGGCTAGTGGTTAGGAGAATTTCTTTATTTTTCTGACTTTACGCACACTCTATCCCACATCAATGATATACGGTAGAAAACGGTTGTAATCCATGATTTTTCAGCAAATTCCAAAGGTAGGATTCCGTAATTGGTTCCGACAGTCGGTTCCATCTTGGTTTCTACGAATTCTTATCCTTTCCAGTTCGAATACGAAACTCCAATACGATTGTCTGATATTCAGCCGTAGAACTTAAAGACCAGAAATCAGATAGGACCACACAATACGGTTCGGAATAAATTCTATCCAGACAGATGATATGTATAACATCGACGAGATAAATAGATGATTCTTGTGAATGGAAGTACGAGTATCTGAGTGGTTGTGCGAAGTTGTAAACAGTCAAAACACTCACACCCGTCCTACACACCAGCCTCATCGTCATTCCTGTACACTCAAAAAAAAAAATTTTGCTTGGCATAACCTCGATTAATGCACTCCAGAGAATATTTTTTAAAACAACTTTTGTTCTTCGAAATTTTCGAGAGAGAATTTAATTGTACAACGGTTGGGGATATTTCAAAATCCAGGTAATTCACGATCCGAACTACAAAAATAGAAAAAATTTGCCTCCAATGCTGTGAATTGGTGTTCCTCGCCGAATATTTTTGAAAAAGTTTTTGCTCTTGAAAATGGATGTGTTGAATGTCCAGAACATCGTTTGATCGAGAATCGAATTCCATGTCGAATGGAGATATTTCCAAGTCTCAACAATGGAAAGTTCAGACCTCTGAAAGAGAAAAATTCTGCCTAGCAGCATGCTTTGGTTGGTACCTCGCAGTGAATATTTTTCAATGAATTTTTTCACTTCTAAATGAAGCCGGCAGATAGTAAAGGACATCAATCAATAGAGAATTGAATTGCATGTTTCATCGAGGTGTTTGCAGGCCTGTGAAGTAGACCCTCATTTTTTAAAGGGTGTCTCGTTCGCTTCCTTTCAAACCAGTGCACACCCACACTTTAGTTACAAAATATTTCAAATGTTGTCTAATACTCAGAAGAAGAAACAAAATTACACATTTAAACGCCATCGGATCCGACAGGAGTCTACTGGACGTCTTCCACCTGAGTCATTTTCTCCTAGATGATATGTTCGATTGTACTCAAACTTTTTAAAACTCTTCGTTGTTGTTATAAGATCCAAATGGATCTACTACTTCACAATTTTTCAGTTATTACTACATTAACATTTCTTGTTTTCAACTAATCTTTTCATCTAATCTCTAATCTTGTGTTGGTGAATAATATTCGTATGAGAAATCTCTGATAAGCTCAGAAAAGGAAAAATGGTACTATGAGTTTGCATGGGACCCACAACGAAATTTGTCGTAGTACTAAATCTGGCATCTGTTGTTTTCTAGTTATTTTTTAAATCAGTTTCTTCTAATCCATTTGTAAGTTCACTATTTGAGATAATGATTCATATTCTCTTAAAATAGTGTAGAAAATTTTTACGTTTTTTTTTCTTGAAACCACATTTACTGACGTTTTTAGTTATACGTTTGTGGAAAGTTTTAAATTACTATTTGTCAGAATGTACGAAATAAAAGATTAAAGAAGAGTTTGCATTCGACGATGAAACTCAAATTTGAATAACATCATGATTGTGATAAAAAAAGAGCAAGTTTTGACTTTTTTTAAAATCATGAAAAAGAAAAAGACAAAAAATAAATATAGTTGTAAGAAAAAAATTTCTTCACCTTTTATCTATAGAAGATTAGATATATCAACATACACACATATACAAGGGGAAAAGCAAACTTCTGTACTTCTTCATACTTCTATTAGTGGATAAAAATGAAGAGAAAAAAGTGCACTTCTTTCGTACTTAGGTGAATGACACTTCCGGCTCAGTTCGCTGAACTGGAGCTGGTCAGTCAGTTCTAGTTCCCGAGAGCTGGAGCTGTTACACACCTCATGCTGAATCGATTTTTAACTAAAGAAGAGCTCAAAGTTGGTGGAAATTTGTCAAACACAATCTCCTTGATATAATACTAATTGCAAAGTAAAACCACTCCATTACATTACTTAAGTATGTTGAGCTGGGAAAAAACACTCTACTCTTACTGCTTAAAGGAAAGTTAAAGTACACGACTCTTAGATTACCTCTAACCCGATATTTCGTACCACATTCGATACTAGTTAGTAGACGACGTACGAGTGACGCCTTTACCACAGTTTTGCGGTCTACACCTAAAGCCCTTGAAAATCTATGATGACTAACGCTAAATATCTCTTGAACAGTTAGCAACATCAGACATCCCTTACCCAGATAGTCTTTGAAGAGTAGCTAGAACCACTTCAAAATACCCCTTGAAAATTTAACGATACCAAACCTCAACAGGCCTTGGTGATTTATGGATACTTCCATAGAATATCCCTTGAGGGTCTATGGGTTCTTCCCAGGGAGCCCTAGAAAAAGTATGAGATAGCTCATATGAAAAGAACTGATGACCCACTCTAGCTCACGTGAGCTAAGATGGTGAACAATTCGAATTATAGCTCATGTGAGCTGGAACTGTCACACATTTATTCATAATTCTTGGTACTTTTCAGTACTTCTTTTACCTCTCGGTACTTCTTCATACTTCACAACTACAGAAGTATGCTTTTCCCTCCCCTTGCACATTTATCTACTGTTCTAGACTAAAATAATTATATCTAATATTCTTTTTAGTTACCTTCAATGTTGTCATAAAAGAGGTCCTAGACAATCGTTTTTTTTTCGATAGTTTATATCGTTATATTGCCACCAGTAGAACTGACATGTCGATCTTTATAAAAAGGACTATCTAGACCTTTATATTACATAAATGTAAAGCTTAAATAAAGCAAAAATATGCATTTGACCTATTTCTATGGTTGGGTCAAAGTGGAGTCCAGGATAACAACGAAGGATTAATGATTATTTTGATTGAATTGAAGTGCATGTCTTTTTTTCTTCTCTTGAAAATTTTGTATCGATAAAATTTTACAAAATTAGCATTATTCAGGAAAAAAAAGCTTTTTTTAATAGTTTTTTCATACATAGTGCATCCATTGTTTTACTTCTCGGGAGTATAAAGAACAATATTTTTCAAAGAAAAAAAACAGCACGCACCCAAATTTGTTTCAGTTGCCAGAGAATAAATTTCAGCCCTGGTCAACATATAGTGTGGATGTTATCGGAGACAGATGGAGAGAAACTTCATGTCATTGTTGGCTCTTGACCTATCGACAAAAGTTAGACAAGTTCATTTATTATTCATTAGGTTGTAACATTACTTTATTATTATCTTCTTTATGTTATATGATAGACTTAAATGGAAATTCTATACAGGTTAAGATTTTCAGAACTTATTGCAATAAAGAAAAAAAACAATCGGTGAATTCCATTATGATATAGTCAACATATTTGTATATTAATATTTCAATACATCAACAGATGCTTTACCAGAATTTTTCATTTAAGAATTAATTTTCGAATACGATGATGAGCTACAATGAAAAAACATGAATAAATAAAGAAGAAATATTTTTACTTTTTACTTGTAATACTATCATTAATATAGTAATGATTCGGTCTGTTATTACAACAAACAAATTCAATGTTTTATGTATATATAAAAAAAAACAATCTGAATAAAATTTTTAGCACGAAAAAAAACGAAAATCAATACGGTATTTGTTTTGGCATGTGATTGTGTAACAAGAGCATGTCTATCGTGGTAACAGAAGTCATCAAATAGACAAAAAAAAACACTTTTTCATTTTCATTTTCATTTTCATTTTCATGAAATAAATAAATACATCATACGTCATAATTTTTTTGTTTTCATCAGATTCTTTTTTTTATTAATAATATACAAATATAAGAAATGAATTCTTTTTCTTTAAGCACAAAGAATAGCAGTTTTCTTATACTTAGTAACCATGGGTTCTAAAACAAACATAAAACAGATAATTTTAATTAAAAAAATATATTGAAACTAGTTTATGATATGCATTAAGATGATTAAGTAATTTAAGTATAACCTCTTTTAATTCATAAAAATACAACTGAATTTTAAAAAAAAATACTATTGCTTTACCTGTACGATCATTACGACCAATACGATGCATACAATCTAAATTTATTTACTTTTTTATGAAATCTTTTTTTTCTTTTACCTTGAATTGTCCTAGCTATATCATAATTTAATACAAATGAAACATCTTTTATATGCATACCACGACCAGTATCATCTATTGCAACCAGAATATCTTTTTGACGCTGTTTTAATTGACTAAAAGTTAAATCTCGATTTTCTTTAACTTTTTCCATCCTTCACGAAATAATAATTTGTTCAACACATTCGGTTGATTTATCAATTGAACCAATATAAATAGGTGCAGGACGATAACGATGACGAAGATATGTACGTGCTAAACGTTCAATAACTGATGTTATTGTTACTGTAAACATCACTATGGGACTTTATTTATCTTTTAAAACAAAATCTCTTAATATAAAAGAAAGAAAAATGTTCTTTTCTTCTTATGTTGTATCTTCTGCAAGTTCATTAATGGCTTAATATTCCAGAATACTACCAATAACTATTGGATGTATACATTGGAATAAATATAAAATTCATACTTTTCCAAATGTAATTGCTTCATTTTCAATTTGTTATACTAATTCACAAGTTGATGCTAAAATAAATGCATAAAGGGCGTTCCATAATGATAGAATATATTAATATACATGAATTTTGATAAAATATTTTTGCAATATCTTTACTTTGTAGTCAAAAGCGACACCGTGACGAAGAATTGTTTGAACTACATGGGAATGCATTTATATCTAAAATCTTTTAGACTTAATGACAAACTGGATCTTAAATTTATAAAAATGACGAAAACAGAAAAGATCGTAAATGTTTTGTGTTAATTTTAAATTGTTTGAAAACAACATAGTGTATTGATCGCACGGTTTGTAGTACAATTATTCAATGAATGTATCGAATCAGTAGATAGCGATGCTAAATTTGCTAATTTATAAGAAATTGAATATGTGTGAAACACAATGAATGAAAAAATTCCCAGAAAAATGTTTGGTATATCATTATCTTTAGAAAAAGAAAATGCACAAGAATAGAGCAAAGGTTCAATATCAGAAACATGCAAAGATAATAGACGAAATATCTTATGGATTACAATTGATCATAGAACACAATGGATATCATGTTCACACACATTAAGTTTTATAATATTTTACGTTTTTGAAAAGAATT